TTCCGGGGTTTTGCTGTCTCTTTTAATGGACGTATAAGTACCCAGCAGTATGACCTACTTGCGGTAGCGTTTGCAGCATCCGCTATATGTGCTTGCTTCCTATCCAAGCCTTTATTTGCTTCAGCTTGAATCACGCGGCTCCATGCACGACGTCGATCTCGCGAAGATTCTGCTGAGCCTGCGCCAGTGTCGCATGGGCATCATTCAGACCGCCCAGCAACTGCGTTATTCTTACTGCGCCATAGTGGAGGGCGGCACCATGCTCTTATCCACCCCGCCCAGTGAACGGCCCTCCCTTCAGGTAAACAGACACCTACTTTTTTGTTAATCACCTGCTCCTCGTACCCTCCTAGCCGCCCTTAGAGGAACGGCTTCTTGAACGAGTATCTTTCTAACCGCCCGCTAAAAGTATCCTCTGCAAAAAACGGCTGCTTAAGTAGCACGGATTTTTATCCTTGTTTTGCACTGCCCTTCTAGTGTACTTGATAGAAAAATGCATCAAAATATTCCTCCTCATCTGGTAGAAAGTTGCGCCTTTTTTTTCAAATGTTAAACTTGACTGAAAGGCTATCCTCCGGTTTTAAAAAGTTTATAATTATGAAAAGTGTTACGACCGCGAACTGTTCATTCATAATACATCGTGTCCATCGATTTATTAATGTTACCTTTCGGAAATCCACATCCACTGCACGATTTTATGACAACCATTTGACCTTTTCCTCATACCTTATGAAATAAGCACTTACTTTAGACGAAATGCATACAGCACATAGTTTGCAAACCTTGAATTCAAATGTAACCGTCGGTAGGGTTTAACATTATTCGGGAATTTAGAAGTTTTTTTTAAAGCAGAAAATACCCCTTTAAAGCGTAAAATTTGTGAAGGCTTAATTTGCTACCAACTGGGCACGAAGTATATTTAGATTTATGCTTGGCTGAATGAAGGTAGAATAAACCTGAAAAAGTTTAGTACTAAGCTACCCGCCTTCCCTGTCGTCTCACCCCTCGAGTAATGGTTATATTGGGCTCTGATCTACAAATCGTATTATAAGTACACAGAACAGCACCTACGTAAGGAAGACTGTGGTCATGGTTACGAAATATAAACAGATCGCAGTGTGTGAGCGATTAACCGCCGATCTGACTTCCAGGGGCCAGCTGAGGTTTCACACAGGCTAGCTACTATCGCAAGGTAAAGAAAGTGTTCAGAAGAAGTGGGTCTTTACAGGATAA